ACAACAACAACAACAACGGTCAGTTTTGTAGTTAGAAACGATACAACTTGGCCTGCAAAATCCAGTTTTTCGTCGATATCTTCGTCAAAAATTAGAATTTTCAAAAAAATATAACATCTCGGGAATTCCGAGATACGCTCAAATCCGTCGAGATATTTGATATCGGCTAAAAACACGACCCAGCGGGAACGATACAAAATTTCATCGTTTTTCGAAGACAAAAAGTCAAGGAATAAAAAAAATCGGAAAATCTCTCCGTAGAGAGATGCGCCTGGAAACAGGGCGTTTGCCGGTACTTTCGGATGTCCGAACGACCACCTGTGTGCAGAGAAAAAGTGTACCCGGGCGCTGGAAAAAAATGGGACAAATTGTTGTGCACGGACCATATTGTTCACAGAAGAAGTGAAAATACTTTTGACTGGCATCGAGTATTCCAACGAAAACAAGATGAACCAACAATGAAAAGAACGATGGTACCCCATGTCATCCCTCCCATTCATATGGATATATTTCCTTTGGCACTGGTACACATCAAATCGTTCCCTTGTCAACGCTCGGGTGCATGTCATTGGGTTCTGTGAAGGCGGCGATCGTGTGGTGGTCTACTTCATTCGTTCACGTTCACTCTAGTTGTTAATACATACACCGAAGAGTATAGTACACGTCTCACCACGAAAAATTGGGGGACTATCGCCACAATAAATAGGACGAAAACACACACATCAACCCCAGCCTACGCTGTGCCGCAGAAACGACGAATTTAAGATACTGTGACACAATCTAGATGATACAGCATCGAAGTCTGCTGCATTATTCGTTGCAAGCTTCTCCGTGCTCCGACTGTGCGCACACCAGTCTGCACGATTGACAAACCCACCCTCTAGGATACTGAGTGGGGCACGTAGGGGTAGCGCCAAGCAAACAGATCGTACCACCTTCACTGTAATGGTTTCAAGAAATTCAGGAGAGTGTACGAGATAGTATCAAAAAGAACGTCATACACATCAAAAAATAGCCCACCCGTGGGACGCCCGAGAAACCAAAGCAACGTCCCCGTCATGAAAATGAAACACAAGACTCTTGGGTACCGTCTGTGCCTCGTTCTTTCGAAAGCACCGTTCAAATATACTACTGCTGTTGAAGTGCACGGTTTAGGTTGCCGCTACGTCATTACTACTGCTGTGATATGGATCGCGAAACTACACAATGTTGCCTACTGCTACATACGGCATACACAAATCAGGGATATCCCCGACAGGGACTCCATGGTCTCCCATCGAAATACACCCGACATTTCATTGTACAATCACGAAACATGAAATGATGCCGCCCCGTGGGCGACGGCAAAAAAAGAACCACTTCAATGGAACTTACTACTGCTTCGCGTTCCGCCCCGTCGGAGCTCTGTTTACAATGGATACATGCACGAATCAGTCATACCGCGGCCATTTCCGCTGGCCAAAAGAAACCAAACAAGAATGATTGTGTCTTTCACGTAAAAATAACGGGAAAATGTAGAACACGCTGAAGCGTATAGGTTGTGTAAAACGCGATATGAAACTCCACACGGGAGTCGAACATAACAGACCACCTCCCCAAATATGACACAATGACCCACATGCATGTTTGGGTTTGGCTAAATTGTAAGTGTTACGTGCGCTGACCAAATAAGCACGCAATGAAAAAAGTATTCACGGGGGTTGTGGGAGCATCACGCAGTACCTGCACGATGTGCGCGCCACCTCCCCAACCGTTTCCGGCCAGGAAATAAAGTACAGCTATCGTATCCGTCTGTCGCCAGAGGTAGCCGATCAACCCCCCCACCACCACCATCCCTTGCCCTCTACGTTACACACGGTGCCTGCATCGGCAAGCACCAGCTGTTTAGTTTCCACAGCCACCCCGGCGGGCGGCACAACCTAGAGAAGACCGAAGTATTCATCGGCATCGAAATGGAGTGTCGCCGCTTCGTCGTTCTCTGGGGGCGCACCCGCGGTCGATCTTCCTGGCCGGCTCCACACACGACGATGACTGCGCAGATGTTGTTGCTGCTGCTGCTCCTGCTGCTGTTGTGGCCACGGATTGTCCTGTCCCTCCAAGCTAGCACCGCCGTTTAGGACCGGAAGCTCGCCGGAAGCACCGTGAGAGGGGAAAGCGCAACCGCTGACGCTGCCGTTGTGAACGAAGGCACTGCATTGGGATAACCCCGAAGATTGGGGGACTGGACCGAGGTGCCGCCTTATGTGCGCGAACGACGCTTCCCCGTCCGCACTGCCCTCAAGGAAGCTCTCGATCCCACCGTGCCCGCCCCCACTGTGTGAAACGGAGGACATGCCCTGGACGGAGCCATGCTGCGCGGCTGTTGCTGCCTGCCAGTCGGGCGAGTCAATTGAAAACCATGGACGACCATCACCCGCGGGAGGACACAACGGACGCAAGGGATGGCGAGGGTGGGAACGTGCGTTTCGGGACGAGAAACACATGTTTCGGCGCGGGTTGACCGAGTCTTTGGTATGCTGGTGACGGCACAGCAGGTGAGAGGAAGCACTCAGGATGTCGGCACTACTTCGACACTGAGGGCTTGGAACGATCCGTAAACCCTACTCAGAAAACGAAGTGGGCACGCGTAAGGCCCGGGGGCGGTTCATTGGCTGATTAACACCACCACCGCAAGTATCCTAGGACTACACCACCAGGTGCTCCTCCCAAACCTTGAGAGACCTGGTGCGGTTGCTAGCAAGATTGTGTCAGAATGAGGTGCGGGGCTGGCAGTTGAAGCCCGAAAATTCGTGCAACGACGCAACAAAGACGGGAACGAGAAGGGGTGACCGAAACGCTTACATCGTTTCTGGAATACTGTTTCAATGTACTAAATAGTCCCCGCGCCGCAAAATTGTGAGTAGCAAATGACTGATTCAGGGATATGAGGGAAACCCGCCGATTCCTCTGCAGGTTGACTCCAACAAAGACGTCTTCCCCGACGGAATCGAACACTGTACCTGTCCTCAAAACACAAAAAACACCAAACACAAGTTAGTTTGGGCGGTCCCAAAACTGAACAAGAGAAAAATGGCCAAAAACCACAACAAAACACACCACCGGCAGTACATCAGGTATTGCCCTCTCTCTCTCTCTCTCTCTCTCTCTCTCTCTCTCTCTCTC